ATGGTGTAGATCGGCGGGAGCATCGCCGCCATGGCTTCCAGGACCGGCTGCTCCAGTTCGTCGAAGGTGTTCATGATGACCGCCTTGGCCATGGAGGCTCTTTGGGCCTCACGGTTGCAGTAGTTGAGCATGATGTCGTCGGGGTCCGTCGTGCGAATGAAGGTGGGCAGATCCTTCAGCCTCATGTTCTTCAATCCTGGTATCCACTCCACCGCCATGTCGAGGTATCCATTCGTGATGTCACTCTCATCTGTCGATGCAGTACACATGAAGTAAGCGATATGGACTGCTTTGGAGTGGAAGAAGAAGGGAGGTCGTTTTAGGCACCTTTGAGAGGCGTGAGACCTCTTTCGAGGAGATGTTTGTACTGGAGATAGCCCATGAAGCCACAGGCGCTGGGGGTCCAAAACATCACCTCGGGGATGCTGAGCTCCGTGGCGGCGTCGACGGTGAAGCTCATGACTCCGTCGGACACGACGCACGACACCGGTGGAGAACCTTCGTTGAGCTGCCTGAGGAGGTCGAGGAAGGGGGGGAGAGCGTTGTTCTGGATGGATTCACACAGCGAGGGGATGTCCTGCGTCGCGTCCTCGTCGGAGGGAGGGAGGCCGTCGGGGATGGTCTCGAAGCGGAAGTCGGGGAGGACGTCGGCGGAGGAGAGGGCTTTGGAACGGAGGAGGCGTCTGTGGTTGTACTGGGTGTTGACGAAGGTTATGTGGAAGCCATGGGAGTGGAGGAGCTTGGCGAGCATCATCATAGGTGTTACGTGGCCTTGCGCCGGGTAAGGGATGCACACTGCATGAGGCTTTCGCGTCGACATGCAACGCATCTCTCTCTCTCTCTCTCTCTCTCTCTCTCTCTCTCTCTCTGTGCTTTGGTTTCTGCGAGGATGTTGCTACCAGAAGCAAGGCTTATGTTATCAGCAGAAGAAAAGAACTCTTGTCCTCGCGCGGCAGAGTGGATGTTGCTCGGTGGCCGTCCGTTTATCATCTTTTCTAATGCTGCAATATTTTGAAACTCTCAACCATGTAATAATTATCTCAGGGAAAGACAACATTAATGTGTCGAGAATACCAAAGACAATAATATATTTGTGTCTAAACTAGTCATGGCCTTTTTTTTTTCCCTCTTTGTTTGTATTCTTCACTTCAAATTTTTTTTCATTTATTTTTTTATTATTTGCTATCATGTTTGTATTCTCCACTTTAACTCTTGTCATTTTTTTTATTTTTTGCTATTCTCTGAATTTTTTGTGATTAGTTTTAGTAATCTATGTTTTGTAAGATTTAATGTCATGGGCTTCTTTCTGCCTTTATCTTCTTTGTAATATTCTCTTTACTCTTTTTCTTTTAATTTACTAGCTATTATCTTAATTTTCATGTTCAAGTTTACTAAGCTTTGATTTCTTATTCATATTTGCTAAAATCTGCCATTATATTTTTGTATTGTTTGCTTTACACTTTTTCATATCTTTTGATTTATAATTTTGGTTGTTTGAATAGAGTAATCCTAAGTTCAACGTCCAAGATTATCACAAGTTTGAGAGTTGAGAGTGATGTGGTTTAGCAAGATGTCTTATAAGACCATGTTGACAATATATTCGATAAAGGCTCAATTTATAATAATAAAAAAATCATATATTAAGTAGTCAGAGAGAGTCTTATTGATTAGTAGAGCCTTTTGATAGGGAGTTTCCATAATCGTTGGAACCAAGTGATGAATTGTCAAGCTAACGATTAAGCATCAAGGTATGATAGGGAGCCTTTGATAAGGAGCCGATGCTGCCTTGAGCATGACTCCAGATCGACATATCTACTAGCTAACAAGGATGAGGAGTGACATGGCTGGATTATCTACACCTCAAAATATCCTCATCATCTACGCTTTAACTTTTTCATTTATCAGATAATACAAGCTTTGTAAGATTTTATATCATGGTCTTCTGCCCTAATCTTGTCCCTAATATTCGCTTTACTCTTTTTCATTGTTTTTATTATTTGCTGTTATCTGAATTTTCTGTTCATATGCACTGAACTTTAATTTCTTATTCATATTTGCTACAATCCTTTTGAGGTTTGATCCAATTTTGTATTTGTATTCTGCACATAATTCATATCTTAGACACCAGCATGGTTAGACCTTATACGATGCATCCCTATAATATTGCAACAAGAATTTAGTTTCTTATCTATGTTTGATAAATTGCTTCTGATGCAATTTCATATTTATTTTCCACACATAAACCACATTTGTAAGAAACTCTTGCATGGTTAGACCTATATATGATGCATCTCTACAATATTGCAACAAGCTTTTACACAAGCATTCATGAACAACAAAAGCCCAAAAGGGTTTAATAGCCGAAGAGTAGAAGATCTTTGGTTAAGTTTCATCCGACTACAAGTAAATGAAGATGTTCATATCAAAGAGGAAACCATATGTATAATGAACTCATGAAGGCATGGAATGGGATACAATTGGATGTGTGACTCAAAAATACAAGGAATCAATTGAATTGTACAATCAGTTGTGAGGAGGCCTTTGGAAAAGAAATGGAAGCTCTTAGTTTCACAATCAGCAAACGAACTTGCACAAATAACTATTAACACAAATGATATGGATATATGCTAGGGAGCTTTCTTGTTTTTTTCTTGGATGCTCGCAGACACTTGACAAAGGAAACTATGTATTTGGTGCTACATCTGCAATGAAATTATAAATGAGATATTTAATGTAATGTTCATGTTCGTGTCTTTCGATTTTGTTCATATGCATAACATGTAAAAGGCTAATAGTAGGCTTAGTAACCTCATTTTCTTTAATTTTGATGGTCGTCTTAGGCTTGTAAATAAATATTATGTCATGTGAGTACTTATAGTGATTTTAATCTATAGTGGACTGTTTTGAATCCTTTGTTGTATGACCGTTTAGAGTTTGTAAAGTTTGTTTGTAATTTGCATTAGCTATGAAGTATTTGCTGAAATGATTGCTTATGATAAAATATTTTTTAACTTGTTTTCTCTTTTGTAGCTATTAAGGGGCCATAGAAGGTTTCGGGGAGATTGAGCTTTGCGGACGAACATGCAAAGGTGCTGCACGATTTAGGCAAAACCATCTAAGTGCGTGGTATATGGTATCAAAGCGGGACAAGTACACATTAAAACACTTGGGATACAAACATAGGGACCTAGCAGGGCTGCGTTAAGGGTAGCCAGCAACGCAACAGTTTGGAGGAAACATGCATGGAGATGTAGAAAAAAGGAATCCCTTAGAAGAGCGAGCATATGAGATTGGTATTCAGAGTAATGGCCAACCCTTCGCGTAAGAGGTACTATGAGAACAAGCAAGTTGGGAAGAATATGTAATGCACAAAAGTTTTGATAGCTGAGTTCGAGCTATGTCTCGATGTTGACAACCATACTTGATGGTGCTCAAGGCAAACGAGGCGTTTGGTAAAGGATAAGACCATGCAAAGTGGAATGGGTTGCTCATCGACTAAAAGAGTTGTGAAAAACTCACAGTGGTGAGGGAAATTGCTAACTCGAATAATTCAGTACTCATGCAAGAGCTTGTATACGAATGATAAAATGTTTGTGGCCGTCCCAAGGCGAACGAAACTTAGCGCCATAGAGTATTAAAATTTATCCTTTGGCACGAGAAAGATATATTCGTAGGAGGCTAAAGTGTCCAACGAGTTTAGCATATTGCTAGGCCTTGAGAGATGTAGTAATGGCTATATACATATATATATATATATATATATATATATAT